TAATAGTCATACGTATTGTCACTTAAAAGAGTATAAACAATGTGTATAAACTATCAAACCTGAGAGTTTTCTATGTCACTGCCAAATAAAAAATAAAATCCTATGTACATAAAAGTAATTGGAAATATCACTCAAAGGACAAATATTTTTGTTAGAGATTTATATTTATTTATAGTATTTATTAAATAAAGATATTTATTGTTTTCGCGTGTAATTTATCCATTATCATATGTGTACCTTTTTCTCATTATCAAGACTATACAGACATGAAACACTCATGCTCGGTTTTCCATATAACGAAGGCAATTAGGCAAAAACTTTCTCCATGGTACTGCTTACAAGCTCTCATTCACAAATGGCATCCCTTTATAGCGGTTCTCCGGATAATAACAACTTGTAAGGGAAAGTTAAATATGTCTTCAAACTTTGATGAATATTGATGGACAAAACCTAAATGCATTTGTATTGTATTGGTCTGTAAACATATATGAAAAAAAAGACATTTGGTTAGTGAGAATGGTGAATAAAAAATATTCATTTCGATATTGCTGAATGGAACAAAACTCACATCAGTTCTTGTTTATGCTCTATAACAATGTCAAAAAAAACATAAGGAAAAATAACAAAACTTTATTTTCATTCAAAGAATTTATATTTACATTTCTATCATTTTGAGAATAAAAAGGCCTGTAAACTTTTAAAAAAACATTTATAATCACAGACTCAAATAATCCAATTAACACTAATGTTCCATCTATCAAGTAATGGAACAAATCTAACTGTTATTCCCACCAAATTTTATACATATCCTCCCACTATATAATAATCCTATAGTTTAATACGAACAGGGCTGCATATGACTTGGTTATGCAGGAACTTATGTACAAATAAACACTTTGCTACACTTTTAATACCATTCTGATATACAATAAACTTTTCATAACAGTCAACACATTTCAGGAACATTTCATTTTCAGTATCAAACTACATTTCAAATCAATATTTCTCCAGTTTCTTTTAGTTAAATATCAACAAAGTGGTAACAAATGCATTTTATAAACTCTTTAATGGTTACTTTTATTGTAACACTTACATCAACCTTCCCATGTTATTTCAATTTTTATTTTTCCTTTTAGTCTCAAGAAATAAATAACATTCCAAATTTTAAAAAAAGCTACAATATATAATAGCATCTCCTTTCTTTTTTTGATTTGATATACCCAATATTTCTGTCTCAAGATTGTTAAAAACAAATTAACTAAACTAATGGTCATGTGAGTATTCAAATAACCAAACAAAAGTTCTCTACAACACTATTATATAAAAAAAAGAAAAAAAATTACACTCTCTTCATTGCACTACACTTCAAACACTCAGAAGAGAATATACATATATATATATGTGTGCACAGATTAACATAACATCTGGGGGCAAGTCAAACTGTAGCATCTCAATAAAATAACATGTACCAAACTTGTTTAGTCCCTTTTAAGTTATAAAGCTACTGTGGCCTTGTGGATAACTTTGATGAACTAATGACACATAAAAATACGTTAAATGACAAGAGAAGTTCGTCTACCATAATTCTGACATAAATTTCATTTCGTGAACATCGTGAACTCTCGTTCATAAAGTAATTCATCAATAAATGTATTAATATTACTTCCAATTAAGGTAAAGATTTAGATGTTATCCCTATGTGAATAATGACAAAAAAAGATAACATCCATTATAATAAAATAATAATTATACATAAATAATGATGCCGGCCCACTCTCAAACTCCCAATCAAACAACCAGAAAATATATATTTACAAATAGTAATGTATAAATTTGGCTGCTTGTACAGTTTTAATGATGAATGTACAATGATGATAATTATATTTCGAACTACAGTGAATGCAGTACTGATGACAAGGATGATGAATGACAATAATTATGATTATGAAGATGATGATTATAAAGCTAGTGGCGATGATGACAAATGGATCTTTAAAAAAAAAAGTTTATTTCTTCTCAAATTAAAACAAAGAAACCTCTTGAAATAAAGATCTTCCATGACCTAAAAGCAAAAAAGAAAAAAAAATATATATATATGGATGCACAAAGGATAAGAGTGAATGCAGTTTAGTCTTACAATACCACTAATATATACAGTATTTGCTGTGTAGACAAACCTTTCATGTACAAATATACCTATAATCTGAAGAACCTGTCGCTTCTAATCCTTAGTATCTGGAATATGCTTTTTTTTTATTAGTCTGTGTAAAATACTTTGTTGCATCTGAATACTTCTGATATCTTTTAGAGACCGAGATCTCTTGACATTCAATGATCGTTTCTGAACCAAAAATAACCTTATTTGGAATATGAATCTGTAAAGACACATCCATTCTATGTCTGCAAATATGGTTATGCAATTATAATCACACATACACATCAAAATATTAAAAAACAATCAGGTGAAAGCAATGGAATGTTAAAAATGCTTCTGGAATAATAAAAAGAGGAACAACATTTTTTCAAATTTGCCTATTGTGATATACTGATATAATATGCTATGCCTATTAATATGAAATAAAATACTTAATAGTCCATACACATGATCACTGAAAATATAGTAATAATAACAATGATACAGTTATTGTCAAGAACCCCCCCCCCCCCACCCAATGATTATTAGTAATTGAACCATCAACTTAACACTATGATGACAGGGCCTGAATATTTTGTGATGTAATATTACGTAACGGTCTAGAATTTGTGGCTAGGCCTGAGCTGCATACAGCCAGCCCACCCATTGCATCACTGAATGGTTAACCAAAATAAACAAGAAACAATGCTCACGTGCATCCAACAATTACCATGAAATATAAGCAAGAGGATACGGATATATGAACTACAGCCACAGAATGAGGCTCGATTCACAAACCTTTACTTTTCATCGTATCATCAAAACATCAAAAGGCAAAATCACGTTGTATTTGGCTCAGATGGTATCACCTCTTCACTCCTCTCCTACTGCTAAACACCACAAAGCATAAGTCTAAGAATATTTTTTTTTCTCTTTTTTTTTTGATAAATGGAAAAATTGAAGATAATCCTAAATACACAAACCTTGAGACTGAGCTTAAACCATGGAAAAAAAACATATCACCTAATACTGCTACTCTTTTCTCAAACATTTGGCATGGAATGGCTGAAAAAGTGAAGGCGATAAAATGAAAAATGACACATCTTCATTCCGAACAATGACAACATTCAAAAATAAATCCTTCTCCAATTTTGTGACAAACAGGTACTTTGCTCAAACTCAGTGACTGACCTTTCTATTGTGAAATTAATAAATAACGTACTTCGGTATCCTAGCACTAATGAACATGCACGAGCCATTATTCCCTTTTTAGTCTTTACACACAAACCAAATCCTCAAAAGACAAGCCAACTACCCAAGCCATTGCAGATTTATTTCAAATCTTTGCCTTACCTTGCTATTAACTTCCATACAAGACCAGTTAGGAAAAGAATTGACCAAAAACGCCGCAGATCTACAGAAGCACTCGAAAAGGCAAGCACACCATCCAGAAAGACTTCCGTGCCTATGACTTGTGCCGGCTAAGAACAGGAAGAAAGGGTATGAAACAACACTTAAGTACTAGGAGAGATACAGCCTGAACAATATCGGGGAATTTCACCTTGCAACTGGGCCTGAATCAAGTTTTTCCCAATTTGATTAAAAGAAATACAAAAATTTATGCGAGACAGGAAAACGTGTAAATGAGAAAAAAAATAAAAAATTAAAAAAATAAAAAACAAAATAACAATAATAGTAGTAGTAATAACAAAAACATAGTAGTGGAAAAGATTAACATTAAAAATAGAAGAGATGCAGAAGCAGTTAATATCTTGTAGTAAAGTAGTCGCAACGGCAATAGCAACAGTAATGGCAACAGTAATAATAAAAAATAATTATCATCATAAATTTAATATTGAAAGTAAGCACTACAACACTGTACAAATTATATTTCTCCTGTAAAATTAAAAAATAAATAAATAAACTAAACAGGAAATTGAACATTTTTAAGTTCTATGTCACACCAATATATTACACAGAAAAATAACAGAAAAAATTTACACAGGAAATTGACAGAAAAAATTCATGTCCCCAAAAATGTTAGCAGCTTTGGAATTAAATGCTCTACAGAAACCATGAGAAAGTAAAATTTATACATACATAAATATAAATATATATGTATATATACATTCATAAATATATCACTCACACATAAATACATATATACATATATATACATGCATACATTACATACATACATATACATGCTTGTATATATATATATATATATATATATATATATATATATATATATATATATATATATATACATATATATATGAATGTCTATATATGTATGTATGATTGATGTATATATGTATATATGTATGTATGTATGTATGTATGTATGTATGTATGTATGATTGATATGTATATGTATGTATATATGTAAGTATGTATGTAAGTATGTATGTAAGTATGTATGTATATATGTATGTATGGTATGTATAGGTATGGATGTAGGTAGATGTAGGTATGGATGTAGGTATGGATGTAGGTATGGATGTAGGTATGGATGTAGGTATATAAGTAGGTATGGATGTAGGTATGTATGCATGCATGCGTGCATGCATATACACATGCAAATTCTGAAAAAATACATTTCTTGTATCTCGAATGCACATGAAGTAGGAACACAGCTTGGAAAGTAAAACCTTAAATGCAATATCATAGATATGTGAAATACAATCTCTATGACACATTAGCAACAGGCTTCTTGTGTTACAATGAAGCAAAGCGTTTTCTCAAGAGAAATACCGAAGGAGACGGCATCCAATAACACTTTTGTGACTACTAACAGCTACAGGAAAATTTACCAAACTCATCCAGCCAAAGCAGTCTGTGGGTCATCACAAAAACTGGAGGTAAAGAGAGAACTAATCTTTCAAAATATACAGCATGGGTATCATATACATAAAGTGGTAACCAGTGTAATAAGATGAAAATGTACATACAAAGATTATGAATTCAGTATTCAAATAAATGGTCCCAAAGTGACTACCTCAGACAGGGATCCAAAAACAAAGCCAAAGTTGGTCCCGTATCCAAGCGCGGACGAAGGGGGTGATGTCCATAGCAGGACATTTACAATTACAGTGACTTTATGTACAATATATATATATGTATATAAAAGAAAGCAGACTAAGCATATCATAAAGAGTACATTTTTGTCTTTTTTAACGGATCCTTTTAGTGTGTGGATACAAATGCATGTATTCTGATTTCGGAGCAAACTGCGATAATTCAGTAATTCCAGTCCGAAGCTAAGGACTCGGAGGGCAAGAGCAGAAAACAATGGAGAGAAAATAGCACCTGACAGTGATTCACGGCTTCTCCACTTCATTTCTCATCTGTCCAAAAAGAAAGAAGAGAAAATTGTAATTCATACATTAATAAATATTACATAAACATTTAATTTAATGGAAATAAATATCATCAGTGTATCACAAAATTAAATGGATATTTTACAAAACCTTTTGTATATATAACTCACATACACACATATATAAATACACATACTATATATACATATTTACATATAAGTATACATGTGTTTAGATGCGTGTGCATGTGTTTCCTTTGCACATGTGAGTGCATGCATGTGCATATTCTAATTCTTTACATAGTCATCAGGTTTTTGTCTGTTGAAGTATAATCAGGATTATTCAATGAGTTACACTGGTTATAACTACTAAATACTCTACAATTTAACCGATCCACAGACGAGAACTTCTACAATTGTGAAAACCAACTGTCTGTGTTCACCATTAACCCATTTACAACGGGTGTCCCACATATCAGACACCCGGAAAAATAAACATTGCCAGGTCATTGTCAGTGTGACGGATTGGTGCTTGCGCTCCAATTCTGTCATGGGTCACGGCCAGCCCAGCGCGCCGATTTTGAAGCCGCTAGAAACTATTATTTTTGGCTTCAACATAAACCGGTGCTAGTGGGTTAATGTGCTTCACTTAACAACAGGCTTTTAAATTTTGAAAAAAAAAGTCACAACTTACTACCCACAAGACATGAAAGAAGACCCTCAAATCACCTTTTGGAAGAAAATATCTTTTGGTAATCTAATAAAAGTCCTTCGATAACGCGATTATGAAGCATCACATCTGTCATGAGGTCTTGGGCATTGGTGATTTTCGGCCAGAGCAGGCACGGACCGAACACGATGGCCAAGTTTGATATACTCATCCGATTCTCACTCTCGTATTCGCTAACTCTGTTACAAGGAAAGAAAGTTTTTGTCATAATCACTGGGAAAGTCAAGAGATATCCTAATAATTCTTGCATTAAGATAAAAATTCAAATTTGAAGAAAAAAGAAAGAGCAATAAAACGTATGACATACAATTTACAGATGGTTATAGGATAAAGGATATAAAACTCAGCATGGAAATACATGTTCAAATATAAATCTTACCTTAACAAATGCTGCAACAAGACTCTCATGGTATCGTAGTTTTCCACAGGAAGCTGCCGCACTGCTTTCGTTAACTTTTCAACCTGTTGGTTCTTTTTCCGGTACTCTGAAAGTAAAATTCAAATTTCAAATTCAAATGCTCCAAAAAAATCAAAGATGACCAACTTATTCCTTCTCAAGCTTTGTTAAATAATGTCCATATACCTCAATTTACTGCAACCCTACATCAAATAATACAAAAGTAAACATTCCGGAAACAAAAACACGTAGCAACAGGTGGGCCGAGGGATAGCCTCTTTTCATAACATGCAAATCCAGGAAACAAGTACAATTTCTATTGTGCTTTAGAACCTAAAATCAAGTCCTTTAATTGTACCTGAAAGGGGAGGGGGCTACCAGTATGGCATGTGGTGGAAGCTAACTACGGGGTTTTACTTTGGTCTACGAATGATAAAAAGAGAACAATAAAAATCTGACACATAATGCAGCCTTACATGTGTGTTGCAAGCTACATACTTACAAGGATATAGGTATAGGAAAATGCCCCCACATCATTAAAAAAAGCAAACGTTACTGACCCCATCTCTTATCAGTACACGAAATAGTACCACTACATCACACAAATAAAACTACTATCTCCGACACTTGCACTTTTTACTGACGCAAGATTTACTTCACCAATAGCATGCATGATCATCACTTATCCCCTTCCCTTTTTGACACAGATATTCCAAACATGAAAGTTATCTACTTAATAAATTGACTAACAGCAATCTTGACTTTTCATCGTGAATGAAACTTACCACTCCCGGATTCACCCTTAAAAGGAGAGCATGAAAAAAAGAAATTATCAACGTCATTGATACACTGCAAACAAAGCAAGTAGGGGGGAAAAAAGGATCTTAAAGTCTCAATCCTTTTCTCGACCTAATAAAAAAGCAGAGAAGCCTCAAAAGACTACCATACCAGAGCCTGTTGCTTGAATGAAGTCCTGGTAATTGGCAAAGGGAATGAGGGGTTCCTTGAGCTCCCTGAAGAAGAGTTTGAGAGCCCCCGACAGGTTGTGTACTTCCTTCTCCCTGCTCAAGATGGTATAGTTCCTTTGCGCTACCTGCAAGTGCAATAACAGGCATGATCCATTAAGTAAAGTTGGGCAAGTTATAGAAGATATACTGCTTCTTCCGATACCAACAAAATAAAACCGTCCTTTAAATATTCACTTTTTCAATAATTATCATAAAAATAAAACTGTTGCCTTCAATCAAACATCACATACTGAGAGAGAGAGAGAGAGAGAGGAAAACAATCGCACAAAAAACCTCACCTCGTATCGAATTTTCTGGATCTGAGCAGCGTTACCAGATATCCTATACAGGCCATCAGTACGGAGATTCTCAACAGACTTTTCTATGTGATTGATACACTGGAGGACAAATATTGGTATCGCGGTCTTGTCTTGTAGGTGCAACTCTGATAATGTGCTACCAAAAACAGCCTCTGTTGATGAAATGATTCAGTAAAAATTTTCCCATAATGTTAGACAAACACATATTCAAGTTGACTGGAAACAGAAAATTCCTTTTCATTCTTTAATAAATGTATAAATATTTCCTGTCTTCTACCCTATGGTAAGAAATCAAGGAACGCTCACCCACACAAGTACACACAAATACTACATTGTACTAGAGCATAAGAATCACACACACAAAGTAACATTTTTAGATATCACTCTAATGATAAAAAATTGATAATAGAGTGATGGTGCAACATATTTTCTTTCCCTTTCTAGCTTTCAAATCCAAAAATATCCTGATTTGGTACTGTCGGCGAGTGCTTCCTAAAAATAATTCCTCTTTCCCATAATGTTAGAGTTGACTGGAAACAGTAAATGATAACCCAATAACGCTACAAGTACACACAAATACTACAACTAGAGCATAAGAATAGGATATCACTCAGAGTATGCAACATATAGCTTTCAAATATATCCTGATAATATATATATATATATTATATATATATATATATATTATATATATATATATATATATATGTATATATATATACTTATAACTATAGATATGAATAAAGATACAGAGATAGATATGGATACATCATCTTTCCCTTTCCTCCCTTAGAGAGAAAAACATTTATTTTACCTTTATAAATCCCTTTCTTTTCCAGCGTCTCCTTCAGCGGCCGTCTTTTGATGAAGTTCAGTAATTTATCAGTGATGCCCTTGCTGTCTGGAGCAAGTTGTTCAATACTGGCAGCCCGTTTCACTGGTGATGAGAGATAAAGTGTCAAAAATAGAAAACTGTATTCCCATTTCAGAGATCATCCTATCTCCAATCAAAATAATAACTTAACTTGTTGCAGCTCCTTTCTCTTCTACTCCAAATTTTTTATATTACCAACACTACAGAATAACAACTATGACCTTAATAACTATTCTAACACTATTAATGAGAAAAAAATGAAACTAATAAAACTAAGAATGCAGTAAAACAATAACCACCCAAGTCCATAGCGAGAAACCAGCTGGACTGTGCACGTATACATCTTCGCGGAAGTGGATGAAACCCAATACAGACCGGCCCAACAGAACACAATGACTCGCGCGGGCGGAACTTCAAAGAGTATCCTCAAATAACGTGGCGTGTGAGATCAGCACATAGCCAGAAACTGATTTAGGTAGAATGTGTGAGGTTTCGCTAGATATTGCATCTGTGGGCTCTGATTTCATGTCCTACGAGCGGCAAGAGTAGGAAACAGGTGAGCATCAGTGCATAATAGGCCGAGAAATTTCTAGAACGTAGTGTAATGAAAGTGTTGTGTGTATGAGTCTTCGGAGAGCAATGCTCATGTCGCATCTACCCTATTTTGGTGTGGCTCTGTAACTTAATCAATCTTTATGCCTTATCATTCTGATATGGCACATTTATCCCTGTTTCCTTTTATAACTGAAAGTACAGCAGTCGCTGGTAAGCCCAAAAAGTCGATGAAGATGGGGGGCGGGCGGAGCAAACATTATAACTGCGGAACTTACTTATGTCTGCTACCTTCGTTCCTTCTTTCTCTCCTCCTCTCCTCCTCCTCGACCTGCATGCTCATATTCATGCTGGTCATCTCTCTGCATCCTAGTAAGCAACAAGAAAACTCATAAACATATCAATGAGTGTAAACATATCAGATAAAATAAAATATCCAAAACAAATACACAATCAAAATAATCATGAGGCATCGTATACAAATGAAATATATGCATAATTTATTGCATATATATATGACAACACGCATAATATGGATAGACACAAACAACAACACAACACATTTATCACATACACAAGGGATCAAGACCAGAAATAAGAGTCCGCAACACATGTCTAAGATCTTGCGGTGGGTCGAGGTTTAAGTTGATCTGGCCACGCACTTTTCTGAGCAGAACCATACCACATTAGGCATTATATTGTTCCCTTTAACCCTGAGCATAGCAACAGATCATACACACATAAAACCACCACAACTCACAACTTACAAATAAGTTCCACGAGTCACACCAGAATGTAATTAAATAGATACTATACTATGCCTAAGGCCCACATACTATTTGCAGCGGATGAATCACATGAGCGCATGTGAATATATGTAGCCATTATCGTATTATTACTGATCCAGAAGATTGTCTCTAGAACTACTCAGGTCAAAAAATGAGAAGCACACGCAAAGATGAGCGAATTCGTGTGGCTCGTGAAAGGGCGCTGGCAGTGCTAGAATCCCGTGTTTGGCCACAACTGGCTTTCCAGATAAGCTGTTGGACTTTTACTGTTCCACCTTGCTTTTGCTTTCACTATTTAGAAAGGTCCAGTAGGGATAAAATCACAGGTAGGAATAAAATCAAAATAATTAACATCACGTGGTTCTGTAACCGAAATCCCATAAAGACAAGAATAAACTCTATAATTCTAATAGGATATAACCAAATACAAAAAGACAATTAATATGGTTGATTCTTAGGAATTAAATATACACCTTTTATCAGTCATTCAATATCCCACATAACTTATTGGCGGCAAAGTAGAATACCTCTGGCACATTCCACCAACTTCATATGTAGTGGTAAACAATCTGAAGACAATGGCAGCCTGTATACTTACCCGCTGGTACAGTGCGGGATCCTTCGTTCTTTTCGCAGCAAGTGTGTATAGTAAAGTCCTTAATGATGCCCAGTATTAGTAAAGAAGATTCTGACCATAATTGTAATCAACGCGCATTAGGAGGCCAGTCCCAATTTTTGCGCACCTTCTTCTCCTCTTTAGACCCATGAACCTTCTCTGGCCCAGAGAGAAGTCCGTGCTTGACGAGTATTGTTCTTACCTTCATGGTCAGCGCTGTAGGAAAACTGAATACTTTGCTAACACACTTCTTAGCAATATAAACATAAAATATTACTCTCCCCTCTAACCCTCACAGTTGGCAAGAGGTTCCTCCTCCCAAATCTTAACAAACCATGGCCAAACTATCACACGCACACGCTAATCAAGAACGAGAAAGAGGACGAAAACCTATGTTCAGTCTGGTGATTAACTTTCCAGGATAATATGACCTACCACAGTTTTCGTGGGGAAATTGCCAAGTAACAAAAAACCAAGTGATAACCCTCTGGTTGGCTCTCAGACGTGTTGACGATCTGTGTAGGCCATCCCGTTATGTGCATGAACTCATCAAAGGGACAATCAAGGCTGAAAATATGGAAGAAAAAATGACTGACTCTCATCCCATCAGACCAGAAAAAAAATAATAGCACACATATCAACAGCTACAGTATATATGGTATACTAAATTTTTTGGGAGCCAAACTGATTCTCTAACAAACGCTGTTTTCCTATTAACCTATCACCTCAACATTTATCATACTGTGTAATGGGACTATTTCTATTACTTCTAAGAACAACGCTTAAATCCACTTTGAAATCCATAGCCAAAAGCCATACTCCATCCCTTGAGGAGTGACCACATGCACAGAGAAATGCCCATTTCCTTCTGTCCTTAAAGCCGTAAATGGTATTAAATGTAAAAGTAATAAGCAATAGATAGTAAACTTACAGTAGATACAGTAAGATATCCTTCAGCCATGTTTCCATCACCATGAAGCACAAAAGAAAGGAAGAGTAAAGCAAACATGAATTCTAAGTTGCTGTAGCGTCTTAGCCTGCTAATGCTCGTCTAAGTTCAAGTGTTATAACAAAGGTACCCATTACATACATACAGTACATTAAATTTTAACAACTGAGTGTAAGCAGTTTGCTAAAGTAGTAATTCTACATCCAGCAAAAGTAACCAAGTTGTAAGGTTATTAACAAGTCTTAGACAATATACCCATACAAATTACAAACTACAAACTGGAGGTGGCCTTGGCAGTCATATCATACCTAAGGTCACTGATGAGCAAGTATGATATCAAATATGAATTGCTTGGTTGTATTTATGGCAACCAAACTTAATAACATCTCCCCTTCTTTAAAAATTCCTTACAACTTTACAAATATGCAAAATAGTTTTTAATGAAAGGAAAGCATTTACTCTTTTAATAAATCCTAACTACTTCACTTTTCCAATAGGAACAATGAATCATTTTTGCTTCCTAAAATCATTCTCATCCTCTTCTACACTATAGTGCCTAGCAATGAGTCTTTCAATTTCTAATCTTGATCCAGAAAAAACACCACAGAAAATGATAATGGAGACAAAAAAGGGGGAAACAAACAAAAAGTATATAGCAAGCTACCCTAAATTTAAGCTCCTCCATAAACCCAGCAACATTATTCTTCAAAGGCCTTTCCTCTCCACCGCATTTGTACATCAAGCTTGGAAATACATAGTTTCCCTTAGATATATGCAGACAGCATAATAACTGTAGCAGCAAAATTCCTATTTGGCAATTCGTACACCTGCCAATCTACCATTTACAAATCTGATCCCACCTACACCTTTAATAATGTATTCAGATGCAAGCCAACTAAAAGATGGACAATCTCAAGTTTAAGAATAAAAATAAATTCATTGCAATATTTGAAACATTCTAACACCACCTCTGCAAGTGCTCAATGCATGCAAAACTGAACTTCATGATTTCAAGTTCAGAATACCTTAATGGAGAATGGAAATTAATATTCAAATATGAATTGCCTTGCTATCCGTTTTCCATCACCATACATCTTTAAATCTTCCCTATCCACGTATCCCTCCCACAACCAATGAGTAAACCATCATATCCGCAACACATCATCAAGATGAGTCAGGGCAGAGACATATACGTAGCGTAGACTATCCACTGTACAAATCGCGTGACTGGAACCATATACGGGTAAACAACCTCATAGTAATAAAGGTCTTCGCCCATCGAATTCATTTGTAGCTTGAGCCGCAAGGGAACCCCACTGTAACACGAAAGACCAGTTGTCTGTTAGCCATTTCGAAGAAAGGGTCCCGCTTAGCGTCTATTGAAGAGATTCAGCTGAAATACTCAAATCATTTTTCTTTCTGAGTTAGTTGATATTTTGTCCAGAAGGGTATAACATCTCTATTAATCACATAATAATTGTCAAAGCCCTAGAAATTCGATGTTCATTAGTTATATTATGAATATGCTCGATAGAAAGCATGCAATAGATAAACTATGTCTTCAGCACGAGTCAATAGATCTCAGTCTATAATGGCAGCATCACCAGAAAATCTTAGTAGAAAGTATAACTGTGAGCAATTACTAATATCTTGATTTTGCAAAGTCACCAGTGCTATGAAACGTGCTAGGTGTGTCAGCAGTTGCGAAAGTATAAGATCCTGAGCTTAGTCACGTTAAGAGTGATGGTGTGCATCAATACTATATGAATTTTTTAACTCATAGATTCTCATAATCTTCAAATGCATAGTGTCAAAGAGATATCCTCCATCTAGTTTGACGTAGCAAGCAGCTAAGAGAAGATGTGTCTTAAAATTCATTGCAAGGGAACATTATACGTTTTTATCAAGATAGAGCGGACTGAGTGAAGATACTAGATTCAACATCTTTCGATTAAAAACGCTCATGTATGAATATATCTCATCTCAAAAACCCACAAATTCAAAATTATCAGTCATCAAGATGCTACTAACATGATGTAAACTACTCAACAGTATCCTATGCGATCGCTTAATTCTGCAGTCCCATACTGTGATAGACATCAAGATTTCCAACTACACATACTCTAGAGTTCAGTGAGATACTCGGTGAACTCGCACTCGAGCATGCTGTTCTGCTATCCATATAGCTGTTACATGAGCCGACTACCTCTGCTCGTGAATATGATGTGTTCCATACAACGTATCTTTACACCAGGTCCCCATCCTTGACTATTCCGTCCATATACTGATGGTATCGCCTAAGGAGGACCACGACCTCTGAAAGACAGGTACATGAGTGTAAATATAGAAAGAGGCAGACATATAATTTGACAATGGCGAGGAATATAAAAACAAGAGAGAGATCGACTGGTCTAATCCCTTGCTTCTACTTTGTTCATGACGCGACGATTGACGACACAAAGTGATCATAGATACAGAGAAATGTTGTAGATGATTTTGCCTCTCTTGTGAGAAATGTATAGGTTGTACACCCTTTCACTTTTAGCCATCCTTTGTGTAGAATCCTATTATTCAGGGACAAACTTCGATACCTTTACTTATTTTTTGCTTGTACATAATCAATATTATTATAGTGAAGTTGTAGATAAAGCAAAAATGACTATCAAACTAACCTATAGGTTCTCGAACAAAGCAGCTTATATGAGGTTAGATAGTTAGTCCCTGTAATGCGATGAGAATATCAGTCAATGGTCCGACAAACCCGGCCCTGAGGCAAGAAAATTGCCCTGCCTGGTCCGGCGTGAAAGTTTCATACTGGTGCCAGAGGATGTGTACCAATGACTGTCAGTTACACCGGCTATGATAGTGTTTGAACAGGTGCTCCTTCCTCAGAGTGGTGAGAGACGGTGGTCCACTTAGAGCTGGTCAGCTCGGTAGAGGACATTATGCTACTTGTCTACAAAGATATCTTATATATACTCCAAAAGTGAACCCCGTAAAATATCGACACCAAATCAGGTCATTAAATTATATTGAACCGTGTGACATTACTCTAAGTCTCTGTAAGATATTCTTGAATAAACTTCTGCAAGAAATAAATATGATATGAAAGGTATCGACTTCAAATCTCGTTATAAAAGGATTTAATGTATATAAATGTTATCTTTAAATATCTATACTAATAACAATTATAGTGACCTTTAATTCATAGAACGCCGGAATGTATTTTAGTCAGTGCTAATCAGTCATTTTAAATTATTCTAATACTTAGATTTAGCAGAATAAGCTCTGAATAGCATTATAGCTTTCAGCGTATTCTTGGTGTGCTTAACAATTTGTAAGCAATATGGCTGGAAGATCAAAATTCGAATATATTAAGGCTTTGGGGAGTCATAAATTAAGCGCTCTAATGATATACTAAAATATTGGTAATATTTTCAGTCCATTTGCTAGACTTTTGAGAAAAATAATAGTGCAATCAGGTTAGGAATTCGAGTCAGAGATTCATAGATCAATAAATAATATTGTAAATTACAGGGTTACCTTGGCTTAGATACCTAAGAAACTTTAAAAATACAGGCGGTATGCCAACTTCTGTAACTCCATTCTGAAATTACTAGCGTGCAGCATTTGTCAGGCGTTGTATAGACATGTTCATGGGGAATCTACCAAATTTGAACCATTAAAGTTATATTAGTTCATTCTTTAAACTTAATATTATTTAATCAGAAAAAAGTAGGTTCAAAATTGTTAAATTCACAAGTGCTAAATCTTTGAACTACCTTCTCAGAGTCAAGAGATCTCTTCAATTCCTTGTAGTGATCACTTCCAATCCCCAGACAAGGCAGGGTAGACGTCGATCCCTCTGTATCATCACTAAATGTGGATTCCTCCCTGTCAGAGTGTGTCCCAGAGCCATTATCTGGACTTAAGCAACGGGGGGACGGTGCGAAGAACCGCCTGGCACCCTGGCCAGAGGCGTCGTCCTCAGTGCCAAGCGCACGAGCACTTGCCTCACCACTCTCACTGGTGAGTGGCTTATCCTCTAGTATGGAGTCCTCTTCATCATGACTTATGAACATGGACTTCCTTACCTGAGATTTTGCAGAAAAACACGAATGAGGTTTGTTGTTATCTCCTTCCTCTACCGCATGAACTTTTAAAGACACATCTTCTCTTAGCTGCTTGCTACTGGCATCTATATTTTGAGAAATATTATCTCTACTTTTGCAACTGTTGTCATTTAATCGCACTCGACACATGCTGGTGGCAAGTTCTTTCACAATTTGGTCATACTGATCTTTCGCAACTGGACTTATGTTTCCATCTAACAAATTTCCTTCACTCTTTCTCTTAGGCTGGTTAAAGTCTAACTCTAAATACTTCTTTCCCCTGCCCGTGTTTGCATGACGCAGGAGGAGGGAGTCTGGCTGAGGAGAATCAAGCACCGTCTTCTTTTCCTCCTTACTTCTGCTTATTCCTTCTTTGATATTGTCCAGCTTCAGATGACTGGTAGATTTATCACGTGTTTGCTGGTCTCTTTCTAAGTATCCAACAGGAGATCTCGGTGGGGTTGGAGTTTTTGGTCGGATTGAACTTGGAATCAGTGATGGATTTGTAATTGACTTTGATCGCCTGTCTTGCTTGGAATTCAGCTTTTCAGCTTTCAATGACTGATCACTAGTTTCCCGTAAAGCTGGTTTGTCCAGTTTCACACTCTCTGACTTACTCCTGGTATGTCCACGTGGTCTGGAAAAGCTTGAATTGTGACCAAATGTTGACATTCTTAGACCAGCTTCTGTTACTGAGGGCGTATCTGGTGGCGTCATAATGATACGAGCTGGACTGTTTGGGTGAGTTGGCGAAGATATGGCTATGACATCTGGGTCTCTTGGAAGCTTGTGGGACGGTTGCACTGAGAGCTTTGATTTCCGAGGAGGCTTCTGTGGTGGGTCTCTTCTCTCTGATAATTTTCTCTGTTCAGCTGGATTTGCTTCCTTTGCATTTTCTGCTGCATTCTGCTTCTCTGCATCCTGGACTCCCTCACACTGTATTTCCGATGAACTGATCTGCCCTTCCACTGGACTGGGAGACTGGACTTCATACTGGAGGTCCTTTGACAAGTCCATAGTGCTCTGGTAACTTTTGCAAATGTATTCTTTGTCCTCCAGACTGGGTATGTCCACCTCGGTCACCCATGAAAATTTTTTAGGCTGGAAAACCACATGTTCCATCAAAGTAATTTTTTCATGACCATTACTCATGATCTTTTTATATAAAATTAACTTGATTCACCTGCAATTAACTTTCAAGAAAGCAAAAATGCTGTGCATGCAAAAATTCTCTCATATGTTTTTCAAGTTTTCAAACAACTGATAAAAATAATCAGCACACTGTAAATTTGTTGAAAATTCCAACACCACAATGATTCACTCTCATCTCCACACCAAGGATCGCTGGCTATGTTGGGTGCAAAATGCCTGAAACACGGATACAGCAACGGGCGTTCACAGGCATGTGTGAGGTATGGAGGCTGAGAGAGAAACAAGGTTGTTGTGGTGTGAGAGACTCAGTAATCCTAGCAGCACACACCATCCCTCCTGGGACTGGTCAGGATGTAGACAATAAGATCTCTCACCCAACACCGCCTCCTCCACGCAGGATAAAGTGCACTGCCACACTGTGCCAATATCGAGCATCCCCCAATCAGATGAATGCCCCAGTTCTTGGATCTATGGTAACTGAATATTCTGTAGTGTTAGGCAGTTGTTTTTTTATTATCCACTTGACAGGATACAGCTTACTCATGGTAGCAAAACAGGATATGACTTCCTCCCCAGGTTGAGCTGCCCAGTTTCCCAAATTTCTTCAGACAGTATTCCAAAATTACCTACCTGACATAACGCCATTAATATTTCTTCTTGATAGTAGTTCAAATTTTCCTTGAACAACAAACAGTGTATTCAACAACAATATCATATGCTTTAGGCAATAGTACATCTATAAACCACTGGTGAACGCTAACTTTTGGTGTGGTTTGGTTCACCCTTGTATCTCCGATTAAGGGAGATAATGTTATAGCTCCCGGAAAGCGCATAATTACACCTCACCACAAAAGCAATTAATGACTATTAATTTTCTGTACATGATAACACTCATCCTTCAATCAGCATGTGATCAATCTATTACATGATGTTATGTACAGGAGAAAAGAAAAAGAAAAAAAGGGAAAAAAAAAAAAAAAAAACATAAGCAAAGACACTTACACACAAAATATGCAAGAACATACACCCAACCATCATCACTCACACACAGACACATACAGACACACATGTACGCAAACACACACACACACATGTATGCACACACAGACACACACACAGACACACACACACACACACACACACACACACACACACACACACACACACACACACACACACACACACACACACACACACACACTCACATGCGCACACACCACACACACGCGCACACAAATGCACACACACGCACACACAAATGCACAACACACACAAATGCACACACACGCACACAAAATGCACACACGCACACAAATGCACACACACGCACACAAATACACACACGCACAAATGCACACACACACAAATGCACACACGCACACAAATGCACACACGCACACAAATGCACACACGCACACAAATGCACACACGCACACAAATGCATACACAAATGCACATACATATGCACGCGCACATGCATACGTACATGCACACACAAAAAACACACATATGCACACATGCATATACACGCACATACACACACACACACATACATACACACATACACACACACACACACACATACACACACACACACCACACACACACACACACACACACACACACACACACACACACACACACACACACACACACACACACACACACACACACACACACACACATACACACACACACACACACACACACACACACACACACACACACACACACACACACACACACATATGCACACACACACACACACACACACACACACACACACACACACACACACACACACACACACACACACACACACACACACACACACACACACACACACACACACACACACACACATAAGCTTGCACAGGCACAGGCACACCCTTACACATGTAAATACATGCACACAGGCACATATTCATGTAGACAGGCACATACACAAGTGCACACAAGCATACACACGCACACAGTCACATATTCATGTAGGCAGGTACATACATAAGTGCACTCAAATATACACATGCATACAGGCTTACTTTCAAGTAGACAGGCATGCAACTCACGATGTGTGCCCCTATCTCAACGCTTTCTCAGGCCCTAAATAAGAACTAGGTAATGCTCACTTCCCCAAATCTCCCTGTCCACATGTAAGAATAAGCACAAGCACACACACAAGCACACAAATACGCATGTACAGGCACATACACACCCTTACACATGTAAACACACTCACACAGGCACACAAACATACACATGCATACAGGAATACATTCAAGTAGACAGGCTTGCACTCACGATGTGTGCCCCTATCTTAACTCTTACTCAGGCCTTAATTAAGAACTAGGTAACGCTCACCTCCAAAAATCTCACTGTACTGTACTCAAATGAACCCTTTCTCCCTCTCACTTTCTCCCTTACTCACACTTTATTCTTAATTTCTTCTCTTACACTTACCCTCTTTCCATTCACATGTACTCAACATCTACTTCTCTCTCTCTCTCTTTCTCTTTCCCCCTTTTTTATTTATTTATTTCTTCATTTTTAAATTACACTCATTCATACTGACTGATATCCTTGTTCTTACTCTTTCTCCCTGTACAGAATTTTCTTTGAAATGTCTTAAAAATTTAAAAAGAAAAGATTTAAGAGCTCTCTCATACAAAAACAATTTACCCACAATTAATACATTGGTCTTAGACAACTTTATCCTCTGTACTTCTTATTAATTACTCAGATCTACAGAAATCTGTTAAAACTGTAATTATTATTCAACACATTATGCATCACATGAAATCACTGATTTATCAACGACAAGGGAAAACTGGTGAAACAAATAAGTAAACAGACTGACTTAGTTGAATTAACAAACACAATACAAATAAAGCTATTAAACAATACAAGAAAAAAGTTTTGTACTTACTCTCTCTCCCGTGACCTGATTACAGAAATAAACCCTCTGCGTGAAGTTGTCAAACTTCTTGCTCCAGCCTCTGGGCGGGCTCATCTTGTATAGCGTGTCCAGCAGGGCAACGTTCTGGTCA